TTTTGGCAGCCGATATCTATCGGGGTGGTATCGTGCTGTCTCCTCCTCTAGCTCTGTTTTCTTGCTAGAGTCTAAAATCTCAGAGTCTGAGCTGCTCAGCTCTAAGGCTTCCAGTTTCGTTGCAGGGCAGAGGCTAGGTTTTGAGTCTTTATCTCTCCTAAATTTACCGGGGTGTGACCGGCCATTCCCCATTCTCTCTCCCTCCTTCTCTGTCTCTCCCTCATCCAGCTGAGCTGTTCCTTCCAAAACTTTATCTCTTGAGCTTTTAGAGTCATTAGAGCTATCAAGATTTAAAGCTTTACACACTCCCTTGTCAGTAGACATTCCAGGAGGTCCTTTTTTCTTATTCGTTGCTGTACACACTCCCTTGTCAGTAGACATCCCGGGAGGTCCTTTTTTCTTATATTTTATTGTTAGGCGCGCCCCATCTCTCACCACATTCGGTTTCTGATATGTAATTCTGGACTTCTTTAAGATTGCTACAACAGTGAGAAAAGTCAAAATAGCTCCTAGTAAAAGCATAGAAGCCTCTATATTAACCTCCCACAATAGCAACATTCCTAAGCCAAAGTCCAGAAAAAAAACATACCTCTCCGAATTTACCACCCTGCAGTTCTGAATCCGCCCTGTAGCCAAGGGGTCTCCGCGGTGCTGGAGATGTTCATATGTTCCCGGGTTTCGGCACCATATGTCCCGCGCATGCTCTGTATTTCTCGCCAGCAAGAAATCATACGCAGGACACTCGGATCCTTCTGCAGACAAGCTTTAATGCATCTTACCAGAGTGGAGACCAGAACGGAGACATTGAACCAAGAAAACCATCCCTATATAAAGGCTGGCCAGCCGCCTGGGACGTGTTACCCTATGAATGGCTTCAGCTCCTCAGGCAAAAATGAGCCACGGGATAGGCAGAGATCAAAGGAATGGAGATTACCCAGCGCCTGTGAAGTAATTTACAACTTGGTGTCTTCCGGCACCTATTATAGTAATGGATAATGCAGGAACCGGCTTCCTACAGTTAGAGATGAAACCATATTACATGAGTACTGAGGAGGGGCTGGGTACTGGGAGGGACCTGGAGCAGTGTAGTCACAGCTGCTTCCTTTTCCAGGCCCAGGGTCAAGGTCACGGACACTCCTTAAAGCACTGCCGAGGCAAAGGTGGCCGGTGCAGGGTGGGAAGCTGAGAAGTGACCAAGCAGACATAAAATAAAGTTGGGACAAGATGGCATGACCTCAGTCATTTCGCCTGTGGACGATGGTGGGTACGGGGAGGCCAGACAACATCCCGCTGGATTGGCCTGGGTTGCATGCCCTATCACTCACTGCAGGGTGATGCTGCTGTTCCGTTCAGAATCCCCTTTGCTTAGTTCCTATTAGTGCCAAGTGTCTTACACTAGACTTTTCCTGGGGATATATGTTTCTTCACAGACCACAACATCAATAACAGACCAAAAAAGATAAAGAAATGAAATCCCACCCAACGCTACTGTTTTAGTCAAGGCAACTTAGAAAGCATTTAATTGGGTCTGGTTTACAGTTTCAGAGACTTAGTCCATTATCATCATGTCAGGAATCATGGCAACATGCCTGGCGCTGGGGCAGTAGCTGGGTGCTACATCCTGGTCCTTAGGCAGAGACAGAGACTCTCAGCTTGTATGAGACTTTGAAACCTCAAAGTGCACCCCCACTAACACACTTTCTCCAACAAAGACACACTTCCTAATCTTTTCAAATAGTTCCACTCCCTAGCAACCGTTCAAACCACCACAACTACCAAGGTGAATCAGGGAGTTGACTGGGGTTTCTTACAGGTGCCCACATCATCACAGGAAATGATTTCTACAAATGGCATCATTGGAAGTCCCTCATCACCCCAACAACCTTTTACTGCTTGTAAACCCCTAAAGAGAGCCTCATGGCATTATTAGGTTTTAAGAGCTTCCAGAGTCATGGTAGCCTCCTCTCTCTCTAGGATATGTCTCAATCTAGAGGACACAGTGACACAGTGCACTGCTTTTAGACGAAACTTTAAAATCACGGGGACCATCAGCGGCTCCCACCATATTCTGTCCGTCTGCTTATACACCCTGGAACCTCTCCAGGAAGGCCTGACCTAAGAGGGGATGTGGCTGAAGATCAGGACCTCCTCCCTGCCTTACACCACTATTCTGAGGGACCCACAGTTGAGTATGAAACTGGATCCATAGCTCACAAGGCAAAGGAGGTGAGACATGGACAGAGACATGGCTTATATGGATAGAGGAGAGGGTGCGTGAATGGTTGAGTCTTCAGAGGAGAGGGAATCTACAAATAGGGTGGACTGTAACCTGGACATTCACGTGCAAGAAATCTAGCATGGAAGAAACAGGAGTGAAGTCTGTGGTCCCAGGCACTAATACACGTGACTTTAGAACTATTCAATGTTATAGCAAAGGGCTTCTATGTGGGTGAACTACCCAACTGAAAGTTACAGAGTCAGGCATGCAATGTGTGCAGTGCCGACTCAGGGTGGCTTCTGTGCTATACTATTTCAGCACTAAAAAGATGAAAGGGGACACTTACAACCCACCACTCTCCACCAGCAAGACTGGATCTGAAAGAAATGAAGCATGAGCCCCTGTGACTGGTATTTGTAAAAGAGCAGGGTTTGCTTGTTCCTACAGCAGTGAACTCAAGTCTCACAGACAAAGAAAAAGATCACATCCCCGGTTCCCAAGCAAAAGGGAGAGAGTAAGTGAAACGAAAGATAGAAAGAGCCATCAACCTCGTGATTGTGCTGATGAAGTACTCATCTGTCTTCTGGAAGCCCATGGCCTGGTAGAGAGCCAAAGCGCTGTACTGCACAATGCTAGTCTCAAGGACAACATCGCTGTAGCCCTGGTCCCGTGCAAACTGGAGGACAGTTCTGACCAGTGCTTTCGCTATTCCCTGTCCTCGATGCTGGGAGGACACAGACAGGCGAAAGAGCTGCAGCTGCTTCCTCCCTAATGGGGGATCCTTGACTGGCAGACCCCCCACTATGCCCACCACCTGTCCCCCAGACTCAGCCACCCAGAAGGAGCCATGTGCATTCAGATAAGACTTTGTGATGTCAGCCAGGTCTGTTTGCAAACTTGTAGCCACATACTTTCTCCAAGAAAACCAGACAAGGAGCCACAGGCACAGGATTATAAGGCAGCTGCACGCTGTGGCCAGGAGCCAGGAGCCACCCACGAGGACTATGGTCCCAAGCACCCCAAATAAGGACAGGAGAGTCTGGGGCACTGTCAGCATATGGCGGAAGGCAGCAGGGACATTCTCCTCCATGCCCCTGGAGAACAAATCCAGGACCCTTTTGTGGTCGCTGTCCTGGTACAGGCGGATGTGATAAGGAGCCATGGGAGACTTCTGGATCTCAAATACGTGATCACAAGGGACAACGAGACCTTCTGGCACAGCTTCCCTGAGCCCTGCAGGAGACAGAGGAAGCCATGTCAGTCTCCCAATCCCCTCCCAGCCTATCAGAAACCAGGGAGACTCTACTCATGGGCGTGCCTCTGTCAACACCCACAAGGAAGCAGGACACTTCTGCTGTGTGAAAGCATCAGGTCAGCATCACCCAGTGGCCCAGTGGAAAGATATACTGTTCTGAGATCTTTGTTTCCTCTTCAGGGTCCAGACATTGAAAACTCCTGTGTCCTCAACACAAGTTTCAGCAAATCAATGGGAAAGATTCAGTCTACAGATAAGCAAAGGGCCAAACCAAAAACACTCCACCTGGGGGTCCTCAGGAAAGTGTGGGACTCCAGACCCACAGAGACCCCCCCCCTAGTCTCACCTCTCTGTCCTCTCACTTGGTACCACAGATCCAAGAGTGTCCAGGATGGCCTCAGCTTCCGATGACATCCAGAACTTAACCAGGGCCTGATGAATTCCTAGGGAGTAGATCTGGCCTGGCTCTCCATTGGCTGACTCCTGAACAATCATAAACCAAGGTCAAGGGCTGGAATGTGATCCCCACAGAGTTCACCTGGCCCAGAGTCCCTCACCATTGAGGGGGGTCTCCTCATCTTTTGCTCCCCTTCATAACATAGCATCTTTCTACCTAGAACACTTTGCCACTTCTGGCTCCCAGTCTAGTTGTTGGCACATAGCTGCTGGGAGAGGCGTGTGCTCATGACAAAGTGGGCTTCTCTTTCTCTCTAGCTGTAGTTGGTCCTAGGATAATGGATCCTGATGGTCCAAACCGACTTCCTGCCCTCCTAACCATCATGCCTTCACTCAGCCACCCTGTTAATGCAAGTGCTTTGCTGGGTGCTTCCTTTTCAGCCCCTGCAGTGTTGTTTGTCTAGATGCCAGGCCCCACACAGTGGGCAGCTTCGTGAGCTTGGCAGCTCTTTAAAACCAAAACATCATACTCCTCATGCAGATTAGCCCGAAGAAGTACCTCAACAAGCCAGGCAAGAGCGACACAAAGGGACACCCTTTTCTTGCAAGCTACCCCTGTGAGATGGATGCTCTTTGCCCCAGTCCTAACCTACAGATCAGTGAGAGGGCCCTGTTGTCTCTTCTCATGGCTTCCTGAACAGGGTCAGATGTAAGCCAGCACTTGTCTGATGCAGTTAGCTTGGGCCTCTCGTAGGCAGGGCCGGTGGGCTCTCAGGAGAAAACACACATACAGGTAGGTAGGGTGAAGCCTGACATCCTAGAAGCTGCTCAGGAGTCATGTACGGCAGTGTTGGGGAGCCTTTGGACATGGGGCTAGGCAGCACAAAGGTATGGATGATGGGTACAGCATGGGTCATGCTGTAATCGGGACTCTTTTGTGGTATTTATCCTGGGTCTTCAGTGAGCTCTAAGGAGAAAGATGGGAAGCAGCCTCCGTGGAGTCTTACATTGAGGAAAATTCTCAGGAGCATTTTGGGCTTTGGGGACAGGTTGAAGCCTTCAGTTCAAAACTGCAATAAAGAACAGAGGATGTGGGTGGGTGGGTGGGGTGGGGGGGCTGGTGAGAGGCAGTGAGCTTTTCCAGGGACTCTAGGAGAGGTTAGTTAGCCTCTGCCAGCCGTGAAGGAAGTTTCTCAGGCCAAAGGCAGAGAAATCGGGATTCCCCTGAGCAGGACTAAGGAACAGCTTGTGAAGAATATGCTAATTAGCCTATGGAGAAAGGAAAGACACCTTACACGGATTCTGAGGCGGGAAGGGTGGGATGTAGAGAGGAACGTGGGAGGGACGGGAGAGACAGAACACCAACTTCAAGTTTATGTAGCATGGACCCTTACAAGGAAGAGATATCCTTTTATCCAGTGAGATGCTCTACCTGGGAGGGAACGGGAGGCGTCCGGGAGTGGCCGGCTTGTTTCTCAGCGGGGCGATCTTCCGGGACTGAAGGTGAGTTCCGCTCCCAGGGCCGGACGGGAGGGAGTGCTCTTCCTGTCGTGTTGGCAGTTTTCCTGTGTGATGGCACACGGATCTCCCTGTCTCAGTTTGCTGCACTCCCTCCAAGCCAGGGCTGGGGAGCACGCGAAAGGGTGCGTGGGCTCAGCGCCGCCGCTCGGCTCCGCTCCTCATTCCGCGGCGCCCCCTGGAGGCAGGAGCAGGGGCGGGAGGAGGGAGCCCGGAGACTGGGCTTGTGCCTGCAAGAGACGACAAGGTGTGTCTACTGCTCTCTGGGGCTTCATGCTTAGTAGCCACCCAGTCTTTGCCTTCAATCACGATGTTTTTAATTTAATTTAAGAAAAAAAGAAAGCACATCACAGCTTTAAAAGTTTATAATTCTGTGTATTACAGTGCCTGCTGAGGTCATGTTTTGAAACTAGCCCATAAGAATCATGAAAAAGTAAAACAACTGGGTCAGTGTTACCCTCACACAGAACACATTCATTCACACTCTTGTGTAATTCTTTCTACTCTCTTTGGTAGATTGTTGACCCGTGTCAGACGTATGGGGCTACCAACAAAGAACTTCGTCACTATAACCCAGGAAAATGAAGACGAAAAGTCTAAAAATGTGTTCAACCATTTGAAGGGAAAACTACTATCTGACAAAAGAGGAAGAAGGCAGATTAGGAGCTGTTTCAGACACAGAAAACACTGGTGTCTTGTTTTGTTTTGATATCAGGGGTTTTGAAAAATATCTCAGCAGGCAACGCTTCAATTCTGGTAACACTGAAGAGGGCTAGGACAAATGATACCTAACATCTCAAATGAAAGGTCATCAGGTTTCTCTAAAAAAAACAAATCCTTCCTGAAACAGCAAGTGCCTGAGAAATCAGAAATGTTTTGGGCTGGGATGATGATGTGGTGGGTAAGGCTCTTGCCCTACGCGCATGAGCACTGGGGCTTGGATCCCCAGCTCCCAGCACCCAATAACAAGCTGAGTGGAAGTGCCAGCCTGCCTGTAATCCCAGTGTGTGGGAGGCAGAGTCCCGGGTTCCAGAGCAAGAAGGCTGGTCTGACTAACTGAATTGTGAGCTCTAGATTCAACCTTGAAATATGAAATGGGAAGTGTTTTGAGAAAACACTACCAACTCTGGCATCTGTACACATGTCTGCACATATATATATACTTATATGCACACACACACTGCACACGCATACCCCAAAGGATTTATAAATCTGTATTTTCATAACAATAGATGAGAATTATGCTGATGCTGTTTATTAATAACCAGGGACTTATTTTTGGACTCTTATTTATTTAGCATACACAATAATCATATTATGACATTTTCATACATGTTTGTCACTAGATTTTATTCAGATTCACCCCCTAAAAATCTCTTCTGTACTTGGGAAGTTTTAAGAAATATGAATGCAATTTTCAAAATTATGTGGAAAAATTACTTGGGGTATTTATAGATAGAAAAGAATAGGGAGGTGCTGGTTTGTATAAGATATAACAAGAAATGATAGGTACAAGCATTCTGTACATTATTCATTAAGTTTGGGCTGTGTAATATGAAAACATGTCTTGCTTTCTAAAAGAATGGAACTTTTGCTGGCCCTCACAGAGAGAGTTGATTATATACCTTGAGGTATATAATATATATATATACCTCATATATATATATGAGGTATATATATATTATATATATAATATAATAATATATATAATATAATATAATTATAATATATATAATATATATAAATATATATATATAATATAATTAATATATAATTAAGACTGCCATTCTACTGTGTACTTAACTTTTTGTTTAACCTGCCTTAAAAATAAAAGATGAGTTCGTGGCCAACCTGTAGGTTGCTACCATTGCAGAACACGTATTTCCTGTGATTTTAGGAACTGAGAAACTGCTCAGTAGTAAAATTATAGATATGAAGCAGCAATAAAGTAAATTTGTGATTTCGAGTTCCTGAGACCATCAGAAGTAACATGTTTTCTGATGGCGGAGAGCAACCCTCATGTTGAGAACCACTGTGGTGTAAAGTATTCCATGCCTTCCTCCGCGGTGCTTCCTTTGCTGTTCATACAGAGAGTTAAGTTCTTTGTGAGGGTCAGACATACAGACACATATAGTTCATACAGCACACACACACACACACAATCAACAGACACACATAGACAGAAGACACAGACAGGGACAGATTCCCAAGAAAGCCTCCAGGCAGCAAAGATCCAGACTTGTGCAACAGAGACACACAACAGAAGACGTGGAGGGCAGAATGTAGAGTTCAAATCCAGACACCATCTTGCTTAAATGACTCCAGGTGAAATGCTTTTATTTCTTTCCTTAATGTGACACCTATGCATTACCTGCAACCTGGAGTTAATCGCTAGTGTATATAATCCGTACAGGGCTGGAAAGATGGTTAAGTGAACCACCACTCTTCCAGACAACCTGGCTTGCACTCCCAGCACACACATGCTGCCTCATAACTGTTCATAATTCCAGTTCTGGGGATCCAGTTCCCTCATTTGCCCTCTGTGGGCACAGTAAGCACACCTATGGTAAGTGTAGGCAAAACAACACTCATATACATAAAGCTAAAACATAGAAGTCTTTAAAAATAAATATTAAACTTATAAAGTACTGGTAGAATGTGGTTTGAAGTTCATATCTAAAGGTGTGTTTTAAAATGGAATCAAATACAGTTTTTGTTGTTTTGTTTTTGAGACAGAAATTGAGGTAGACAAGCTCAACTCGAATCCACTATGCAACCAAGGATGGCCTTGAGAGCAGGTCAAATTTGGTTTCTATGTTCAGAAAATTTAGTTTCTTATGCTCTTAACTATATTTTAACAGAACTTTTGGCATCAGTGATGAATTGCCACCTGCTTTAAATATTTTAAATTACATTTATTTATCTGTCTATCATTTATTTATTATTCTCTGTGTGTATTATTCTGGGGTTTTGTGCACCAGAGCCCATGTGTAGACATGGACTGTAACTTGCCAGACTCTGTGCTTACCTTATACCACATGAGTTACAGGAATAGGTCATCAGGCTGGCTCCTTTTGAGGGTTTGATCACTTGTAACTGCATATCATGAACCAAATGGTTAAATTATTTAACCTATAAATGCTTGTGTAAAACAATTAGCACATAAATATATCAGCAAGCCTCAAATTACCATTCCTCCTCACAGATGTATAAACCGTCTTCACGGGAGATGTCATTTGTAGAATGTCAACAAAAGAGGTTTCGTGAAATCTCTGAAAATCTCAGCATTAAAGAAAACACTGACTTTTTTCTTCCCTGGTTATAAACTTAATATATGTTCACTATATAAAGGTTTGAAAAAAATAGTATAAAAAAGAGAAACAAATCGTTAAAAAAAAACAAAACAGTGAAGTGTGACACTAGCACATGCTGACAAGTGACAGTCCCCAGGACTCTGGCACCTCATCAACCTTTCCTTCAGGCTCCCTGTGCTCTGTGCTTGTGCTAGGCACTTTATGTGCACTGTGTAGTCTTCACTGTAGCTCCAGGATGCTAGAGGAAGGAAACAGATTTGCTCTTTCTTGACTTCAAAATAAATTTCAAAGCAGGCATGGTGGAGAACACCAGTAATCCCAGAGCTGAGGAGCCTGAGCAAGGGATTGAGAGTTTGAGGCCTGGCTGGGCTATGTAGCAAGAGACTGTCTCAAAAATGTTGTTGCACCCCCCCACCCAAAAGAACTACAGAATAAAACGGAGACAAAAATGCCTGATGGTATGTCTTGCACCTTTCACACAAGGTCGCCACTGTATACTGATTGCTGCTTGCTCTCTGGGGCTCTCCCACTTACCTGCCTGCATATGCCCCTGGTGCTTGGTTTTCTTAAATGACATGCTCACTTCATGGCACTTCTGTCTACATTGCCTGCAGCTGCCATGTCTCTTAGAACTGCCCTTTAAAAAATGTAGTTGAGGTTTTTTGTTTGTTTGTTTTTAAGATAGCCCCGTCTTTCAGGACTCCATGTAATTGGTTGATTCAGAATTATTCGGACCAGTTTACTCATGAGTACAATCAGTGGAAATGTCTTGGGACCACAGCACACAGTGTGCTCACTTCCTCCTTTGCCTCTCATTGGAAGGCGTATACTGTTTGCTGGTCCCATTATGGGTGAATCAAGTTTTAGACACTTGGTAGAGGGGAGCCTGGACTCTCCACTATAAAGGCATCTCTCCACAGCTGTGTGCAGAGTTAAAAGAAAATCTCTCAAACTCTATGGGCTATAGCAAGAGTCAAGATTCAGATCTGATGAATACCTAGTTTCAGTGACCTCAATAAAAAAAATTCAAATCTGAGCAATGCCTAGATTCAGTGATCTCAATGAATACACAACACCACCATTTCCAAGACTCTCAAAAATTTCGAGGGTGTTGGTGGCGCACGCCTTTAATCCAGCACTCAGGAGGCAGAGGCAGGCGGATCTCTGTGAGTTCAAGGCCAGCCTGGTCTCCAGAGCGAGTGCCAGGATAGGCTCCAAAGCTACACAGAGAAACCCTGTCTTGAAAAAAAACAAAACAAAATTTCGAGGTTCCTGAATTATGGCTGAGAGCCACCACACTCAGACTCCTATTTTTAAGAAATTTTATTGGGGAGAGGGTGGTTAGGGAGCAACAGCTGGCATGTGCATGTCAGAGAACAACGTTGGGAATTGGTTCTTTCCTTCCACTGTGGGATCCTGCTATTGAACTTCCCCACAGAGTCAAGAAATAGAGGAAGAAAAGGCACAGACTCTTAGTGGATTTTGGTGTGAGCATTTGTTTGCACTATCAATGCCAGTGCACAAGTTAGCTTGCTCTATAGCATTCCTATTACCTATACATGGGGAAGCTGCCCTATACCACTCCTAATGCCAGTGCAGAGATGAGGCTGTCCCACAGCAATCTTACAAGTAATGCCAGTTACTAAACACACTCTCCACTGTGGACTGTTGCATTGCTTGTGAAACCAGTGCATAAGTTTATTTTTTTAAGATTTATTTATTTATACAATGTTCTGCCTGCATACATGCCTGCATTTCAGAAGAGGGCACCAGATCTCATTACAGATGGTTGTGAGCCACCATGTGGTTGCTGGGAATTGAACTCCAGACCTCTGGAAGAACACTCAGTGCTCTTAACCTCTGAGCCATCTCTCCAGCTCTCGGTGTGTATGTTTATTAATACTCATGCTGCAAAGATGATTTGTGAAGCTTATATTTCTCTCCTTGGGATGTTTTTAATCCTTCTGAGCCTCAGAGCAAGAAAACAAATAAAATATTGTCATTTTCCAGGAAGAAGATAGCAGGAGCACCCATGTCCCTCAAAAGGTAGTTTTAAGCCCATTTAAGAGTAGTGTTCTCTACATTAACCAATTAGGTCCAGAGCTGTTGGGAGCCATAAGTTAAGGGGCCATCTAGAATAGTGGAAAATTACAGGCTCTTGAAGGACTTGCCACCTGGCAACTGCCACCACTGGCTGTTCTATTCTGTGAAGAGATAAGCAGCTCTGAGAACAAGAAACATAGGATGTTCTCAGGCAACAGACATTCTTTAGATAGCCACTTGCACAAAACACCACCGCCAGTGGCCGCTACATGCTTGCTCCCCTCTCCCTCCTCCCTCCCTCCCCCCCCCCCCCCCCCCCCCCCCCCCCCCCCCCCCCCCTCTCCCACTTGGTCTCCTTCTTTTCTCCCGCCCATGATTCTTTTCAGGCAGTACCTCTTCAGACCCTGAATAACTTGTACTGCTGGATGGGTCACAGAGCCTGTGTCATGCTTTGCAAAAGCTGCTCATTTCTAGCTGGAATGTAGTGCTGGGGGAAAGGAGGATTTAGGTGCTGGGGACATGGCTCAGGCAGAAAAGTGTTTTCCACAAAAGCATTAGGACCTGAGTTGGCTCCCAGCACCCATGTTAAAAAACCAGGGATGGTGGCCTGTCCTTGTAATCCTGGCTCTGAGAAGGCAGAAACAAGAGGATTCTTAGGGCTCTCTGTCCAACCAGTGTAGCCTAATAGATGAGTCCCAGGTCCTGGTGAGAGACTCTCACAAGCAGGTGGATGGTTCCTGGGAAATGCCATCTGAGGTAGACCTCTACATCTGCAAGCATATGTGTGTGCACCTACATGTACAGCTGCCTACACACACACACACACACACACACACACACACACACACACACACACACACACGGACAGAAGGTGTAGTTTCATGAGTCACATGTGCTTGAGCCTTGGATGCAAACCCAGAAGGGTAGCCGGAGGAGGAGCTGTGTAAGCCAGTGTCACTGTTGCTCCCCAGAACTGGGAAAGACAAACAAGGCTATGAGTTGATATGGAGGTGGTATCTTTGGTACAATCTACCCACCATTCAGAACCCAGCCTGCTCTAAGACTTCAGCCTCATTTGAGGAGAACCTGGTAGGTCACAGGCTCTGTCTGTGGCCTCCTGCTGTCAACCTCCTACTTCAGCTCATTCCAATCTGTGCCTGCTCAGAAGCCTGGAGCTGTCCTGGCTCATGGCCACTCCTGGTTTTGTTGTTCTGTTTTTCTGGCTTCACTGCAACTCCATTCAGTCACCATGGAGAGCAAAGCATGGCCTTCTGGGTCAGTTGCTTTGGGGACAAAACTGAGATTCAACACGACTGCCTGTCCTAGATGCCTTCACAGCCCTTTGTGGCTGGGCCAGCACTTTGCCCTCCCTCCCACCCTCTGCCCTAGAGACTGGCCTGCTGTACTGCCAGAGCCAGAGCAGCAAGAGGCCACTTTGCAGCCTTCTCTTGGGTTTGGAATGTGGGGTGGGATGGGAGGCCTGGAAGAGATTGGGGGATGGAGGGAAAGTGACTGGTGCTTTGCTTGGGACCTCCTTGAGGACAGGGTCTATTCCCAGCTGTCCAGGTTCCCCAAACCTTCCCTCCCTTCCTGCCCCTGATGACTTCAAACTTCTGCTCATCCCCTTCAGGCCTGTGGCCACAGCATGCTGGCTGGCTTCAGAGCAACCTGTGTGTGAGTCCTGCCCTTCACCGTGCTGCCCAGCTTCTCATCACTGTCATCCTGTTCCTGGGAATTCACTTGCTAAGTGAAAGGTTTGTTTTGGTAAAGGGTTTTGGAGGTTCTAGTCCAGGACTAGACTCATCTTCCCTGAGGGCTGTCTTTAAAGGAGGGACACAGGTGACTCAGACACTGGCTCAGAAGATTGTCCTTAAGACCCTGGGCTGGATGAGCTGGGAAGAGATGAGTCCCTGGTGGGTAGCCTCTGGATTTCTCTTAAGAGAGCACAAACTAGATCCAACTTGTATCACAGCATGGGCTGAGCAGTCCCTCGCTGGCTGAAGGGCAGTGGCTATGGCAGGTGCCCTCTCCCTATATTAGGGATAGACACCTTGGTGAGGAGAAGCTAACAGGCTGTTCTCTGTCTATTAGTCAGAACTGAGTGCATGGAAGAATCTACCTGAGAAGTCCTGGCTCTAGGTGCAAAGGCAGCTCCTGCACAGAGGCCTCCCTCAGGCATGGCTCCCTATGTACATGGTCACATAGACCAGAGCCTTCATCCTCCTAGAGGCCCAGTGAGGCACATGCTTTCGGCTATGAGGGACATCTGTCCTACAGGTTTCTAGCAGGTGGACAACCATCCTTGTGGGGTGAGGGACACCCTGCAGTGCCATGGTATGAGGTACTGGCAGCCTTCCCATTTCCATGGAGCCAGTGTTGATATCAGACAGGCTGGATCATGCTAAACTTGGTGTGTTTGAGAACAAAATCTTCCAACTCAGGCCTTTTTGAGGTGGAGAGAAAACACCCAGGGTTGAAGAGGGAATTTCCCAGTGGGATGCCATCACTGCATTTAAATGGAAACCTTCCTGATGTAATGAAACTTCACCCTGTCATTCGCCTATAGCTTCACCCACCCCAAACAGTCCTTGATGGAGGCTAGCACTCACCTTGATCCATCCTGGGCACCTACCAAACTGTTTGAGATAACCAATGAGAAACTCCTATCTTTATGAGAGAGGGTAAGTTTCCCACTTAAGAGTCCAAGGTAGACTTCCAAGATCCCCACAGTCTGGGATGAAGGCACCAACACTCTTCCCCCACTTCCATCTCAAGAGGGTACCCAGGTGCTTGAGAAGACAGTGCTAGCTTGCAGCTTGCAAAGAACTGTTAACTCTTCAGGTTTACACACATCTCCAAGGAGCAGAGGAGATGTTTACAATGACAAGCACTGTGAGGGCTTTCCTACAGAAATACAAACAAATATCTGTATCCCAGATTGAGCATTAACAGATACCTGAGCCTAGTTTAGGTGAATTATCGAGTTTATTGAAATGTGTGTAGGAATCTGAGCAAGGATTACTTACAGGAGCACAGATAATACAAGAGCAGCTTCACCACTGAAAAGCCCAGCCCAGCATGGGCCATGACACACCAAAGATGCTCCCTCCGGTCTCGTGCCATGTGCAATGTTCTCCCCAGCAACTGCTGCTTACCTTGGGTGGGCCTCAGTGATCATTTGACTTCCGGGAGCATCCTGACCTTGTAAGCCATTTTCCCTCCTGGGCCTTGTGTTTCCCTTACTGCTCAAGTCTCAGGAACCTACTTTCTACTTTTAGAAAGGAAGTAATGTTTCATTGCACAGGAAACAGCTACACTGCAAGTTTACTAAAGACAGCACTGCTGTAATATAAAGTGATAAAGTCACATTGTTTTTAATTTCCAAATAAGGAGACTTCAGTGACTACGTGCACAGGTGTTATGTGGTGCGTTCTGGATGTGTGCATACCCATATTCTATTTCTGAGAAAACAGACCTCTCTGCATGAGGACCACAAGACTTTTGGGCCCCAAACACAGGGGGCAGTTAGAAATTTCCTTTCCCAGAAGCCCTGGGTTAAGAACTTACATATTATTTTGTATAAATCCACCTGTTTCCTTAAAGAAAGTGTCCACTCTGAGGACATGAAATTGAGCTAAAGCAGCTCAAGGCCCTGGGATGCTAGTATTTTTCTCCAGTAACCCTTTGATGCTTGAATCTAGCACTGGGGGGCTCTTGTCTTGTTCCTGGACTGGGCTTAACTGAAATGAAAACCTGTGTAAGTGAAAACAGTGCAACACAAAACTCAGCGTATGCATGTATAAAACTGAATTAAAACAAAAAACAAAAAACAAAAGTGGACTCAGGTATCAGCCACTAAGTCTGAGAAGGTCAAAAACCACAGGCCAAAGTTCATGACTTCCTGGAACACAGGAACAGAGAAAGTTCCATGTTCCTTTCCCACGCATTGTTTCTAATGCAACAGTAATACAGGGCTAGGAATATGAAGCAAATGCACCCCAGAAACCCAGAGTGTATCAGAGTCCCCTCACCCATCACATGCATTAGGATCTGGTGTGCACCAGCAAGGAGCTTTTATTGGTCACCACACTGACATGACAGGGTTCACTGGTTCCTGTGAGTGGAGAGGGGCCAACAGCTGCACAGGAGCGTAGGTCCCAGCCCCACTTCCTAGGCAGAAGAGAGGGAATACTTTAATTGAATTGTAAGAATATTCATTAACCTCCAGAACACACTCATGAAATATTGGCCTGTCCTCCTGAACCCCATGCTCAGGTAGAGGGTCTCAGCGCCTCGCTGTAAGACGCTGGTCTCAAGGACAACATCACTGTAGCCCTGGTCCCGTGCAAACTGGAGGACAGTTCTGATCAGTGCTTTCGCTATCCCCTGTCCTCGATGCTGTGAGGACACAGACAGTTGTAAGAGCTCCAGCTGCTTCCTCCTTACTGGGGGATCCTTGACTGGCAGACCACCCCC